CGACTGCTCCGTGCCTCAGTTTCCCCAGCTGTAAAGTGCCCCCCCCCCCCAAATGATGGCACGAAGATGGACGAAAGGATGTCTATAAAGTTCTCAGCACAGAGCTGCCCTGCCCTGAGACCCTGGGCGCCTGGTTTCCAGCCCACACCCCCAACTCCCAGCCCTGGAACCCAGGTTAGAAGCTTAACCCCTCTGCCCTTGGTCACTGAGATGTGACTGGGGACATGACTCAAAGGCGGTATCAGCTGGTTGAGGGCTGGGTCAGGGCGGGGTTATGTTTTTACCTGTAAAGGAAGGAGCAAGATAGGAAATCCAACACTCTTAGAAAAGCTTTTAAAAGCTAGCATGTTCTGGCCACCCTTAAAATTTGAGTCCTTATTTTGTATCTTTCTGGATTTCCAAATAGAAAGAGTGAAGGGATTGGGAGGAAGCCCCTCCTTGCTGAGTGCTGGAGGCGCCCCATCAGGTCATCCAGCGATGCTCATCAGGGTGTGAAGTGGCCCAGGAGAGGCGGGGGAGTCACTTGCTCATTCCTGCACATCCATGGTCAGGTCCAAGGGGCCCTGATGGCAACGAGGGGTGACACTTGAGCTCTGGATGCACCAGCTCTGCGAAGACTGGGGTCTGGGCTCTAGAATTGTCTGGAGAGCAGGGGGTCTGCTTCTCTTTGCTGCAGAGCATGTTGTTATCCTTTCCCAGGATGCACCTGCTCCCTTCCAGCCCCCGATGGAACCCCCACCCCATTCCACCTCAGGAAGGCAAGCAGAGGCAGCAGAGAGCAGGAAAGGATTGGAAGGACCTGAGCCCACATCCCAGCTCTGCCACTCTTGGCCGTGTAGCCCTCACTGGGCTGAGCCTCACTTTCCTCATCTGTTAAATGGGGGCAAGACACCTACCCCACTGGGTTGTGTGAGGATGGAATTAGGACACGTAGATGATAGATTTGGAGTTACAATATATGAGCCTTTTCTCCCCTCTGAAATTCAGAGCAGGTTAGAGAGATTGGCACAGGAATCGGATAGATGGGGATCACAATGTCTCCTCTACTCCTGGTGGAACAGGATTAGAGGTTGTGACCCCAGAAGTTGCCATGAATTCTGCATTCCCAGATTCAAGGCCCCAACAGGAAGAGGAAGCAACCCCAGCCCCAACTCCACGGGGTCCCTCCCTGCATGGACAGAGCAGAGGGGACACAAGCTTCCTGTGGGTGTACAGAGAGCCCAGCAGGGGCGCATGTGAGCACATGAGTGTTTCTTTCTAAGGGCCCTTCGTTCCTTATGTGATTCCTTGTCCCTTGGGCTGAGAGACAGTCGTGTTCCTGAATGGGAGTAGGAAATGAAGGGAAAGGAGGTCCCTGCCCTACAGTAGGTCCAGCACTGGTGCCATCCCTGGGAGCTAGTGTTCAATAAACGACAAGATCTCCTTTGTCTTCTATCCTTCAGCGTAGATCCCGTGCGTCACCATTGGTGGAGACAACCTGTGTGTTGACAGCTCTCTTTCTCTCTCTGACCTCTGCTTCCACCTTTGCGCCTTCTCTCTCTGAACTCCGTCCTATAAGGACCCTCATGATCCATTTCCAGCTCACCTAGATAATCCAGGATAACTTCCCCTTGTCAGGACCCCTAAACTTAACCACATCTTCAGAGCTCCTGTGCCAGGTAGTGTAACATATTCACGGGCTCCTGGGATTGGGACACAGACATGTTTGGGGGAGCCACTGTTTGGTGACCACCCCCTGCAAGCACGTGTTGAGCCCACACTCTGCCAGAATCGCCTTGTTCCGGGCAAAGGCAAATCAGGTGGTTTCTTGTTCCCGAAGGGTTAGCCAGAGAGATGGGTTAAAACGCCTCTCTCAGGAGGAGGCCAGCTGCAGGAGGGCCCTGGGCATATATGGGGTTCCGGGGGAAATGATGGCTAGAGGAGGCATTTCCAGTTAGCCAGCTGCGCTAACAGCCCAGCAAAGCCCGTGCAGCAGGAAGGACTGTGGGGCAGGAAGGGAACAGGCCTGGGTCTGCACTCTGCTCTGGTGTGACGGGCTGTGTGTGGTCTCTCTGACCACACTGTCACCTGCACAAGCTGTTGAGAGAGTTGAACGTGATTATGGTGCTATGCTTTGTCTCTAACACGTAGTGTCGGGAGTTGAGGAGGAGGACTTTGGGGCATCCGAGGCAGGCAGTCAGGAGGCCTGTGCCCCCCTCTCCAGGCTGCGAAGCAGACCCTGAAGTACTTCCTCCCCAAGCCATGCACACGACTGTGACATGTGTCTTCACCAAAGAACAGTGGTGTCTCAGGAGAGACCTAGAAATCTTCTGGAATGATACCCACCGTTTGTTGTACACCAGCTCTAGAAAAGACGCTTTACTTCATCACTTTACAGCTTGTTTGCAACCACCCTGAAAGCCAGATCTTTTTTCCCTTCTTTAGTCACTTGCCTACAGACCCACAGTTCACCAGGGGCCGCGCTGGGGTCAGATCCGGTACGCAGGCCTCCAGATTGCTGTCCTTCCAGTCCTTTTCTGGGGGAGGAGACAGTCGGCCACCTGAGAACCTGACTATGTCAAGGATGAGGTCAACACAAAGCACCCTCCGCGGGAGGGTTTGCTGTGGGACACGCTCCACCTTCCCTGGTACTTCTGGGTCGTCCGACGCCCTCAAACTGCCTGATCAGATAAACCTCAGTGCAGGAAGATAAACCTCAGAGGCCATTACCTTCCTGCTCTGGAAGGTGATTCAGGGGGAGAGCAATGGCTTTGGGAGCCAGCACTAAGATGCGCAGACCTCACCCCGCACCCCTCCAGGGACGGGGCCAGCCCAGCAGGAACACCTCACAGGCCCTGGACTGGGGGAGGTGGTCCTCAGGGCTGATATCTGCCTATCAATGAATAGGTACATTTACATATGAAATGACTCCCCACCTTGAGCGTGTAATTTTATGCAAATGATTCCCTTTGCTAACGTTTAACCCCCTCTGGGGAAGCCCGAGGCTACAGGGGGAATTGGAAGCAGGGAAGGGGGTTGCAGGGGGTGTGAGAAGCCAGGAAGGAGACCCCGGGGCAAGCAGGGCACCGCTTCTGCGGGAGAACACAAATCCAGCAGGGTCTGAGGCTGGCAGCTCTGGGGTCCAGACTGAGGCTGAGAATACCGTGATGTCCGCATGGTCGCCGGGGGATGGAAGGGGCCGTGGAGCCTTGGCTGTCGAAAATCAGTGACTTTGGGTAAAGGCCTTTCTGCTCCTCTGATCCAGCCCTGCAGATCTGCTGGGGGTCACAGTGAACCTTCAAAAGGGAGTGGAGATCACACAAACAAATCCAGCGAGGACTGAGGCTTTCCGGAATAATTTTGGCTTCTGTCACAGCCCCAAGAGCTATAGGAACTAATGAATTTATCAGGAGCCACGTGTGTACTCTGTGAATGTGAAAGCAAAAGTACAATCTAAATTCTAATTTCTCAGCTCAGTCAAGTGCGAGCAGGCACAGGGGAGAGGGTCCTTGTCTTTCGGGAGCACTGAAACGCATTTCGCCCAGAGATGCATCAGCTCCCACAAACTCACAGAAACGCATGCGGTCCTTTTTACTGGGCTCTGAGCGTTGCCCGAAACTTTATGAAGAACTACTCCTGTCGCTAAAACATAATCCATCTGCATATATGGGTGCAGGTCCTAAATTCTGTCTTCTCCCCCCGAGGCACGAAATTTTTTTTGGTAAACAAATGCTGGTAACAAGACAAATCTGTAGAAACAAGAGCTCTTTCCAAACACAAAGTAAGAGGCTGCGCTCGGGCCTGACAAGTTATAGCCAACGAGCTCTAATGTTTCTTAATAACGATCAGTGTGTCAATGCTTCTGAGGCCCTTCACACAGTGGGTTTCCCCGTCAGATGTCATGGAAAGGACAGCACAGGTTTCTGTCCTCTAGCAAACCCTTGCTCTTTGAGGAACGGTTGGGACTGGGAGAACACACATGACCCGTGTCCAGCCCCTGGACCCAAAACTTTAATAATGAGCAGTGACAATTCTTACCCAATTCCTGATACCCTCTCCTCTTTGAGGAGGAGAAGGAAGCCCAGCAGGACAGAGGTCATTGCTTGAGGTCACACAGCCACCTCAGCATGGAGCCAGGTCTCCAACCTCCAGACAGCGATTGTCGGAGGTCCCGTGAGTGTCGTTAGGATTAGGTTTGGTCTCCAGTGGCAGAAACCCCCACACATGAGGGAAGTAGGGAGGGGTGGCCCAGCCGTCCCAGGACCACGCATCCTGCTTTGCCCAGGGCGTCCAGATTTGTGTCTGTTGTCCTAGACTAATTATTAACAGTCTCAAAAGTGCCCAGATTTGGCTAGTAAATTACAGCATCACTCTAAGTGAGTGACGACACAGGCTTCTTCGAACCTCGCACTCTAGCCTCTGAACAGGTGGCTTGCATTTCAAAGCAGGGGCTCCATGTGTAGGTTTGTAAGTTGTGTGTTACACAACCCTTAGGAGCGCCATTCACATTGTCCCCATTATAGATTTACTGTGACGGTTTTCTAGCAGTTGACATTAAAGCATCTTGTGGATCAGGGACCTTTTGTGTTTCTCACGGAGTTGCCATGGGGGCTAATAGCAGTGCTATCCTTGTCACCTAGTGATCCAAGAAGGCTGCTGAAGCTCCAGCCATCACATGCACCATCTTGACAGCAGAAGGGAGGAAGGGCAAAAAATGGGATCACACGTCCTTGATGGAAAGCTCATTTTAAGGAGACTTCCAAGAGGTCTCACCAACATTTCAGTTCCTATCTCATTGCCACCATCGGCTGAGCACATGTTGCCCCCAGTGTGGTAGTTCTGTTAGTGATGAAGAAAGGGGAGAGGAGGGAGCAGGAAGAAAACACGTAGTTGGCCACATCATACAGCTCCACTCTGGATGCAGCTGTGAATCTCAGAGACCACCTTGGATCTGAACTTAATTTTGGAAATAGATGCCTTTCACTGACTCTCCTCCCTTGTTTTTCTTCCCTTTGTTATAGATTTGGTTCTACACCAATAGCATCTTTGGGAAAGCTGGGGTCCCTCCGGAAAAGATCCCATACATCACCTTGAGCACCGGTGGCATTGAGACTTTGGCCGCCATCTTCTCTGTAAGTGAACTGACCGGTTATTCCTGAGAACGTCATAGGGGGTGCATAGCTCTGTGGGGACCCCCAGACCATAAATGTGCTGGCCTTTAAAGGAGCATGTCCTTTGTCTCTCCAAAGTTACCTGAATTTTAGGAGTTTATCATGCAGCTCATGATGTTTTACCTGTCTAGAGAATATTCTCATCTATATTTTGCTCCCCTGTTATCTTTCTTTTAATAAATAGCTCCCTTCTTTGAACTCTCACCTGGTCACAGATGATACAGTGTGATCAACACCCAGTGGAAAGGGCCATTTCTCCCTGAGGGTCCAAGCGAGAGTCCCTGTGAGCCTCGGGTCCATTGCCATGACTTTAAAAGTGTTTCTAAACCATTAGCTGTCACCTTTGTACCCCAAACATGTAGGACTTCGGAGAGAAAAGAAAGGAGAAAAGACATTCCCGTCGATCAGTGTAACAGAGAGTGACTTTATAATAAGCAAAGGGGACGCTGGGATGGCTCAGTCAGTTAAGCATCTGACTCTTGATTCGTCTCAAGTTGTGACCTCGTGGTTTGTGGGATGGAGCCCCCGCTTTGGGTTCTGTGCTGACAGCATGGAGCCTGTGTGTAATTCTCTCTCCCTCTCTCTCTGCCCTGTCCCCACTTGTGGTCTCTCTCCCTCTCCCTCTCCCTCTCTCTCTCTCTCTCTCAAAAATAAATGAATAAACATTTTTAAAAAAGAGTTTAACAAGAAGCAAAAGTGTCCAAAAGAAGACACAGAACTCATCACTGTCAACCTCAAAGATGCACGATAAACACACTGTAGGGAGGAAGTTGGCAATTTCACAATTTAGCAGAAACCGCACAGGCCTGGCAATCAGACCAAACTAGGCTTGAGTCCTGGTTCTGGAACTTCTTGGCCGTGTGATGCTAGACAATGCTTTCAACCTGTCTGAGCTTCGGTTTCCCCTTTGATGAGCTGTCGGATTCTCTTCTACCTTGTTGGGGTGAGGTCCATGCCTCACATTTTGGGCACGTAGTACACGATGGGACTCACTTCCAAAGGACAGAGAGGAGGCGGGGGAATCAGAGTGAAGTTCTCTGACCTTAATGGAGAAGCTCATTTATTTCCACTCGCATGCACCGACTTCTGCTGGTGGGATTGACCTCTGCAAACAGGCAGAGGCTCCCAGTGGCACTTCTGACTCACTTCTAACAGAACGCTATTTTGCTCCTTGCTCTCAATGGGCATCCTAACAAGATGCTTCTAAAAATGGACGTCAGGAAAGCGTTGAGGACTGATGTTCCATCTCCCTCTGCTTTCTCCCATGGCCTTGTTCTTAGAGGAAAATACCTCACTGCTTCACAATCTGGGAGTTTCACAAAATTCTCCGTTTGAGTTTCAGACTCCCTCCCCAGTCTGTGGCTGTCAGTGTTTACAGTGATCCGTGAAAAAGCACAGTCAGTCTAGAATGATAATGATAGGAAGTTACAGGGTTGGTTTTGGGAGTTTTTTGGTTAAGTATTTTGTTGTTGTAAGAAATCAGCATGAGCTCATTAAGGTAAATTTGTAGAATTCAGAAAAATAGAAAGAACCGAAGAAGAGATCCACAATCATACGACCCAAGGACCTTTGGTAAAATCTCCCCTTGGCCTTTCTGTGCACAGGTGGATGTTCTGTTGTTACACGTAGTAATCCTGCTTTTGTTCACATAACCTCATGCCAGAATTGCTTTCTGGTTTCCTTTCTATTTTCTTGTCTGAGAAATGTTTTGTTGGAGTGTCAGGTGTATACAGAAAAGCATGCTGATCGTCGCCCCTGGGAATTAACGCTGGTTGTGGCTCTTCGGAAGTCGACGGTCCCGTCCGTGCCCCAACTGCTGTCTGTGGGGCTGGGGCTGTTGGGTGTCCCCCTTCGGAGCCTGGACGGCAGAGCCTGGATTCTGATCCCAGCTCCGTTCCTTTTGAGCTGCGTGACCCTGGCGAAGTTATTCAGCAGCTCTGTGACTCGGTTTCCTCATTTCTTTAACAAGGACGTTGCCCTTGCCTTATAGAGATGGGGTCAGGATTGAACAGGTGAATACATGCCAGCAGTGCCTGGCAAACGGTGTGGGCTCACAGAGTCTTAAGTACCCCATTTGTCAACACTTGTCATCTTAAGTAAGGCTGTGATGAACACGCCTGCAGAGAGCAGGGTTTTACGAGGTCTCTCGTGATCTTCTGATAGGTGAGGAAACCAAGTCCCAAAGAGCTGGCTTGCTCAGGATCGCACAGCCAGTAGGGAGTGGGGAGAGCTGGCATGGAGGGCCCCCGCTGCTCCCCAGGACCCGGAAGTGCTTTACCTGGGATCTCAGGAACGCTCACTCACATCACTCCTCAAAGTCAGGTGGTCGCCCTGGTTCGAAAGAGGAGCAGAGAGAGTAACGATGCCTCCAGCCCCGTCTCCCTGACCCCACGTGCCCTCCTTCCGGTGCCCTCTCTCTGGCCCGTGGATCATCTTCACTAAAAGCTGACAGTATTTGACAGAGCATTTCTTGGAAGTGCTAATCGCAGGAAGGAGGGAAAGTGACTTCCCCCTCCTGGGAGAGGCAGGGGTCAGACTGGGAGTCTGCCTACCTCCTGCCTTCAAGTGTGGATCATGGTGGGTCGTGGTCACGTGGCATGTGTGTTCCAGAGGAACCTCCCTGCGGGCCCTCTGTGGGGAGTGACGGCTTCATAGCCGTCACGGTAGAGTCGTTTACGCACGCACGCATCCGTTCCACAAGCGGTTCCAGCGCACCCATAGCATGCTTGTGCTGGGAGGTCACCAGTGAAGTCGTTGCGTTCTAGGGAGAAAGATCCAGAAACAGACACATACCACGTGCAGCCCTGGGATGAACTCTCCGGGGAGGGCTTCCTGGAGGAGGGCCCCAGGAAGGCGAGCACTGAAGGTCCAGCAGACATGAGCCCGATGATGGGAAGGGAAGTGCACTGGCAGCCTGTCGCCTGGCCCTGTGCACATGGCCCCAGTCATCTGCACCCCTCCCAGCGTGTCATCTAAAGGAAACAGAGATGCAGAAGAGTTCGTTGGGAGCAGTTCTTAACACGGTAGCGTTTAGCCTAATCTCTGGAGCACCTCAAGATTGACTCCAGCATGACGCAGGGAGTCTGAGGTGGAGCTAAGAAAAAGAGGGGAGAAAGAGCTAAGGCTGTAGGGCCTGGCAGCTCTGAATTCAGAGCCCAGTGACCCACCTGCAGCTGAGTGGTCTGGGGAAAATTGCCCAACATCTGTGAATTTGTTTGTCATCTTTAAAATGGACATAGCCAGGCCTGCGTGTGGTAACAATACTGTCTCCCCCCCCCCCAAATGTCCCTGTCATCATTGTCGGAAGCATAAGCATGTAACCTCACACAGCGGAAGAGGTTTTGCAGGTGTGGTTAAGGTACGGATCTGGAGATGGGGGGTCATCCTGCACTCACCACGTGGCCCAGTGTCATCACAAGGGTCCTTAAAAGTGAAAGAGGCAGGGTTGGGGGTCACGAGGGACAAAAGCAGATGTTGGAGTGGCAGTTGCTGTCTCTGGTGGAAGAAGGGGCCACCAGCCAAGGAGAGCTGGTGGCCTCTGGAAGCTGGAAAGGCAAGGGACGGATTCTCCCCTAGAGCCCCCAGAAGGAACACAGCCCTGCCAGCAGCTGTGATTTTTGCCCCACGAGACCCATGTTAGACTTCTGACTTCCTTCATCCGCTGAGTCTGTGCTAATCCGCTACGGCAGCCACAGGAAACTAAGCCAGCACCTTACAGAGCAGACGTGGAGGCAGACGTCAGTGTGCATGAAGGCCACGGCAGTAGTCCTGACAGCCAATCTTCGCTAAGCCCCTTGGCCTCTCCGAAGTGTTCATCACCTTGTTTCCCAAGATACGGACACTGTTTCGTCCAGCCCTGTGAGGCAGCAGCCTATCAGAAAGGACTTTCCAATTTTTCTTCTTCTTACCGAGTTTTTGACAGTCTGTTAAAATGGCTTTGGGACCCAGGACACTTGAGAAAGACATTTTTGTTCATTTGGTTCGCAATTAATTTTGGCTCCTGGCACTGCTCATCAGCTTGGGCAGCTGTGAATCATTGCATCTTGCAGAAACAGCTGGTTTTCCAAATCGATTTTCTTGGCGCAGCATTAACTCTCTGAGCGAGCCCCCACCGTGTGTCACGCAGGCCGTGGGAGCCCGAGTGTCAGCTGACACGCGGGGCAGCAGCTTGTGGAGCGCGAGCCTCATTCCTTGGAAAAGCGGAGACTGCCTTTTCTAACCAGGGGGAGCGCAATCCACATTAAGTCATTCCTACTCAGGAATGGGCTGTGCCTAGCATTCAAGTGGGAAAAAGAATCCTACTGGTTCCCCCGCCCCCCTCTGCCTCCCAACGAACACACAGTTTCGGAATCAAAACCTTCAGAGTTCACAGCTGCATCTCGAGCCCCTGGATCTGGTGCTTGTTGGAGCAGAAAGTGGGCACCGACAACCAAGCAGGATGGTGGAGTGTTTGGGCTCCATGGGCTCATGGCCCTGAGCTCAGTCGCTGGGTGACCTTGGGCCAGTTAGTTAACCTCTCTGAGCCCCTGTTTTCTCTAAGGGAAAGTGGGAATAATACAATAAGACCTCCACAGGTCTTACCATGAGAGCTATATGGTAATTCACAGCACTTGGCATAAGACAGGTGCTCAGTAAATGTTAATTATTACTATGGGTTGAATTGTCATCCCCACAGAATTTATATGTTGAAGCTCTAACAGTACCTCAGGAGGTAGTCATTACAGGTGTAATTAGTTAAGAAAAGATCATTCTGGAATAGAGGGACCACCAATCCAATATAATTGACATCCTTATTAAAAGGGGGAAATTTACACACACACACACACACACACACACACACACACACACACACACACAGAGCATCATGTGAATTTTGAAGGCATGCTACCGAAGGCAAGAAACTCCCAGCAGCTAGAACAACCTTGGAACAGTCTTCCCTGCACCTTCGGAGGGAGCACGGC